AACCATGAATTACCGTAAGTTGGGGTTCGCCTATACGAGTGTAGATATAAAATGTGTTTCAAAAATGTATGGAAATGCACATAAATGTTTAATAAAGCACCATGCTGTACAGTAAATGATCCACTAATCATCTGTAAATGATAAATGCTAGCTGGGTGGACTCGTTTCTTGCACGGGCGATACGGTTACACCCCGTCAAATGCACGTTCGCGTGAATTGGCTCCTCGCTTCCCACGCCGTGCGTTTTTTGCGAAAGTACGAGTCACAAAGTGTAAGTACGAATCGGGGTCGGTCGCGCATGAGCGGGTCCGCATACTCTGAGACCTTACTGTGCATAGCATAGGGATAGACTGGACCTCACCGTTAGAATGTGGAATTTCCACCGTTGGCTAAGGGACCACCAATGGCAGGGATCACCAGGCCAAATTTAGTAGGGAACATTTCAGACGTCCGAGTGTTTTTTATTTTAACTTGTGGGCAGCTCTTCAAAATTAACCTCTGAGGAACTAAAACCTGCAAGACCCTCCCTGATATAAAGTCTTGAGATCTCTGACGGCTGCCTGGATTCGAACCAGGCATCACGGAAGTGCTGGCTCGGTGCTCTGACATGGCCACGATGAGCCCCCTGAGTCACACAGTCCTCCTCCTGTCAATAGCGCTGCGATTCTATCGGACTAATCATCTATGATGAACGAGCGTTTAATTGTGGCGCAAAAGATGGTAATGCTTGGGTGCTCCTCCGCTCGTGAAAGGAGACCGAATAGATCGAGGCAGGCTTACTGATATAAAAAAGCCTCTCTCCTTAAATTTATCGCACCATCCAGAATTATTGGCCAATTTCGTCGTGGATAATAATCACAGTTCTCACAGTAGGAACAATCGTTTGGGAAACTGCGATTTGAGATTAAACAAATTGCTGTCCTAAGTTACAAGCATATTTGTTCGGCTGTTATCATTAGGTTAGAGTGAAAATAAGGTCACATTATTCATTATAAATGAGTAATTTTTTTCGTGCAATTTCAATATGGGAGGAAACTGGGAGTATCTGGCTTGAACCCACACACTACGAGGGAGGGTTTAACATTTAACGCTCTGCACAGACACACTGAAAAAAAATCCATTGCTGTTCTTGCATCCCTTCGTCACTTCATATTTTAAGCCTATACACTTGGTAATCCACAGCAGTATCATATCCAAGGGCACGGCTAAACCATGTTAAACAATGCTTATCGCAACGTTTCCAATGGAAATACAATATTCACGTCTCCCTTCTAGAAATACAACTTTAACAAAAACAAAGAACCACAACGGTACTCTCACGTGGTAAAATGAAGGCAAAAAAAATCCACTGGTGGATTAATAAAGTTCAATACTCATCTTTCCAATAAAGTACTCAAAACGAGCGATGGGCAACTGATAATTATCCCTGTTGTGCTGAGCCAGTGGTGGAATTTCCACGTTCCTATTTCTGAGAACCGTCACTGGTGACATCTTCCAAACTAAACAATTTTCATTTTTTTTTACCAGGTAAGGCCCACTGAGCTATCTAGTTATTTTTTTTTCATATGGGACCTGGCTACAACTGATAGCTTCAACGAAGTGGCTTACCATGTGGAAATTACTAGCAGCCAAACAATCTCATCACATGTTTCTAAATGTGGAGGGAAAAGCCGGAGGACTCGGGTAAAAATCCCAGTGACCAAGGGGAGAACATGCAAACTCCAAAAAATACAGACGTCAGAGTTGGGATCGAACCATCGACCTCCTGCACACCTCACGAGGTAGTTAACATCTCGCCACCATGGCGCCAAATGGAAATAATCACGGGTAACTTTTGTCTCTTAACAACAGGTAATCAAGCCTGCCATTTTAAACGGAAATGAATGTCAACGGGCACTTATTTAGATCAAGTTTTCAAATTTCATTTATTAGGTATAGCCCTGTGAGCCATGCGGCTCTTAAGTCGGGTGCAACCGCAACAAACAAAATTTGAACGCGGAACATCTTAAAGCGACGAATAAAACAGAAAATTATCGAATGCCAAAAAATCCAGTGATTACTATTGTCCCCAGACAAGAACAGTTAGCAGTGCCAGAGGTATAGAAATCCTCCAGAGTTTTCCCAAATGCAATTTGTGTTCTGTTGACATGGACAGGTCTGAGGCACACATCAAGCGGTCTTCACTCTCCTATTCAATATCCTCGTCTTTTTTTCTCTTCCAGTGTGTTTATATTGTCCTTCCTTTCAAATGATCTAACATCTTCCTCTTCCTGCCTCGTGTTTCTGTCGCTCCACTTCAGCCACCCGCATTGAACATTGCGGTGAAGTATGGTCAAACAACGTGCACGACTCCCACGGCGTGTGTGTGTGTCCCTCATCGCGGAGTGCATTGTAATTGTATTGTTAGAACGTTACGTGTACATATTTGCTAAAAAAAAAATATCACGTACAACAAAGTTCGCCAAACAACCAGAGATCTCTGTCGGTGAGACACAAATGGAATGAAAGCACGGCGAGATGGTGTGCCCAGGGCAGTTATTGAACGCGGAACCGAACATCAAAATGACGAAATAAAAAAAATATTGATGAGAGCAGGTTGGAGCACTTTTGGAAAGCTGAACTAATTGCAACACGCCGATGCGTCCGAAGAGGAGAGTTTTTAAATTTTGATTTAAAGCTTTCGTGACTTATAAGGGAAACAATAAAATAAAAAAATATTTTATTGTTTCCCTTCTACGTGACTTTACCGAAAGAACCAAGAATAGGAGTTTTTATTATTATAACGCTTTTTTTATTAACTCTGTCTGTTGTATCCTCAAATCTTGTAACTCAATTTAAACCCACTTCCCAATGTGGCATCGACTGCAAACTTGGTATACGTATGTCATACTGATGACAATACTATATTCTATCATAAAAAAATATATATATATATTTTTTTAAACATTCTTTTGTATATGTTATGTTTCGGCTTGGGTCTAATTGTCCACGCTCAACTGACGTTGGCTGTAAATCACCACGGGTCCCCTTACGTTGTGGCGAGCTTCGGGGCAACTTCCTGGAGTCGTGGAGTTCTTCCATTACTCGTACGGTACATTTCATTAAAGCGTTTTTTTTTTAAAGTATTTTTTTAAATATTACTTATTCAGTGCGTTACTACCTGCGATGACCTATGGATCAGAAACATAGGACACTGATTGGGCAAGAGAGTGGAACAAAAGCTGGAAAGTGTGCAAAGCACGGCATAGGCGCGTGCGTAGGATTGCAATGGGAGCAGGAAAGATGAACGTGGATGAGTTCGTTGTCATTCACCTGCACCTCCGATTAGCGTGGTTGGCTACGTACGGTGCGAAAGAAGTTCAACATACATACAGAGTGACTATATACTGTACACTGGTTAAGGGGCCGTCCATAAATGACGTCACGCGATTTTGGACGATTTTTGACCCCCCCCCCCCATCGTCACACGGCATCACAAAAAGTCAGACCCCCCCCCTCAAAAATGACGTCACAAAGCTCTCCCTCCCCCCCCCCCCAAATAAATTCAAATCGCTTTAAACTATTGTCATTGTAGTGCGTATTTAATGTGGCGCTGCACTCTGATGTTGTAGGAGAAAAAACATTAAAAAGTATAATTAATTAAGTAGAACGTGTTGTCTATATTTAAAGTTGCGCATTTTGATGTGACGTCACATTTCTCAAACTCCCCCCCCCCCGCCTCTCGTCACACATCGTCACAAATGTCTGACCCCGCCCTCCTCCTCCCCCCCTAGGTGCGTGACGTCATTTATGGACGGCCCCCCGCCCCCCCCCAAAGACGTACTCTACTTTTGACAGTGAAGGACAGCGTTTGATAAGATACGTCGCGAGAATAGATTCCGGTGGCGAAGGTGGATGATGGGGATAACAACTCAGTGGTGGCCAAGGCAGAACAAAAGATCCACAAGAGGACATCCTCTTTCGGAGATTAGATTGGGTTGGTGTGCCAGGTGGATACAAAACATTACTTCGTACAAAGTGGTGGTGGTTGGTGGTATTAATATATAGAATGTTCAATTGTTGCATAGCGTCATGCATGCACATTGCATCTCACGAATGCTGAAGAAGCCGCGAAGAGGCGTGGACGGGTCAGCTTGCGGAGATACCAACAATTGCCCAAGCTTTCAGGTCCTCTTTATATCAAGATGTTTTCGGGCAATTTTTTTTTAAATTATATCCAAGAAAACGCGAGTTACTTAAATAAAAATATATAAAATCTCATTGGGGAAATTACCTCTTTTAAGATCGACTAATTAATCGATTAATCATTATATGAACTGCGAATTATTAGTAAGATGATTGATGTCTTCCAACTACGGGGTTTACTTGTACGGTTGCTCCCTTGACGATTAAAAAAAAAGATTCACAAACGATTAACCATCACCTTGAATATTGTCACTCCATGTCCTTTATAAGTTAAAGACCTTCACGACTTACTCGCTAAATGACGACCAATCAGTATGGTATGCGGTTGCACCACATTAAAGGATATTAACCATTTACTAGATTAATCGATTGATCGATTACCAAGTGACTGTGAGTTTACAAGTCACAGGCATCTCGCGCTTGAGAAACATCACACGGAATGAATCACAACGCAGTCTCGCCTGGTTTAAAGTGCATCTTTCAATAAATCGATAGAATACGCTGTAATCGATTAATCTCTTTATCACCAAACGAGCGGCTGAGTTAAGCTACCAACGCCTCTCCCTCATTAGAAAAAAAAACACACAAAAGCACAACGGAGTTTCAACCCGGTTACAAGTTGGGTGCATATCAAGCAATTAATAAACGATCGATTAACTCGCGTATCGATTACCGTCGGTCAATAAGTAATCTCGCATCACAATAAAAACACACACAATCCAAACTAGAGTTGTATCGGGTTTAAGATGCGTCATTAAATTAATCGAACGATCGTGTTGTTGTTATCAATAGTCGATGAACACGTTATCGATTACCTGAGCAAGCTATGCGCTTCCATGCTTCGGTTCTGATTACTCGAGCAAATGACAGCAACACGCAGTGGCGTCTGAGGCATGCCTTTTTGAAATTAAAACAAATCCTTGCATGTATATATAAAATATAAAGATTATAAATGTGCAAAGGGCCCACTTTGTTCTACGTTCGTTCGTAGAAAGTGGTAGCAAAAAAAAATTTGCCTTTTAATTTAACTTTTTTTTTTTAAAAAGTGCGTAGCTGCTTCGACCTAGTTAGGCCGAGGTGTGCAGCTGCCCAGTTTATATTTCCCACACGCTTGGGCGACCCCGCGCCTGTGCAAGGCAGCCGATTGGTCGCGATCGATCACGCGGCAGCGCAGTGCGTGCCCGTTGCTAAGAGGGCCGACCAATCGGAAACCGGCCAAAGTGCAGCCTATGCTTATGTTGTCTGAGAAATGTAATTGAAATGTTGCGCATTTTTTGCAACGCAAAAAATAAAGAAAAGACGCTGTTAATTAATGTTCTCGTCAAAGTGCTAATGATTATTATTTCAGTCGTGTACTGATTAATATTGAAATTATGTGTTGAAAATGCTTCCCCCCCCCCAAAAAAACAACCAAACCCAACAACCCCATATATATTCTTGGTTCTTTCGGTAAAGAATTCTCACTGTGAGAATTTTATTGTTTTATATTTTTTATTATTTTATTGTTTCCCTTCTACGTGGTGACTTTACCGAAAGAACCAATAATATGAATCCCTGCAGTCACGAAAGCTTTATATCAAAACCCCATATATATCATGAACTAATTGTAAACACGCCCACAACAACATTATTAAAGTCACAGAATCGGGCACAGGTGCTGTATTTTAACATAATTTTAATGACCCACGCACAAAAAAATTACACAATTTGGTGATGCATTATTAAATAGATGGCTGGCACACGGCGAAGCAGGTGTTAGAATAGCCACTAGCGGCCTCTAGTGGTTGGCGAGAGAGGACATTCTAGATTTGAAGCTTTCGTGAATGCAAGGATCTATATACTCTTTGGTTCTTCTATTCGGTAAAGTCACGTAAAATTATAAAACAACTAAAAATAAAAAAAATGTCACGACGTTTCGGCCACAACACAAGTGACCTTAATCAGGTGAAGGGACCAGACAGCGCTGTCCTCGAGACAGTCTGGTCCCTTCTTCACCTGATGAAGGCCACTTGTGTTGTGGCCGAAACGTCGTGACATTTTTTTAAACTTTTATTCTTGTTATTTTTTGTTGTTTTATGCTTTTACGTGACTTTACCGAATAGAACCAAAGAGTATGGAGAGAGGCCATGTGAACATAGAATCTGAATATTATTATTATTTACTTGAGAAATCCAATGAGCTATAAAGCTCTTCCCCCCCACCCACGGATGTCCAGTAGGCGCACTGGGTCAGAACGTTACAACAAGGAATACAACAACAGCAAAACCACGAGAGTGAAAAGTACAATAAACTACTTTTACTTTACTAGGTAAGGGGCCGTCCATAAATGACGTCACGCACCTAAAGGGGGGGGGGGTCAGACATTTGTGACGAGGAGGGGGGGGGGGGGGGGTTGAGAAATGTGACGTCACATAAAAATGCGCAACTTTAAATAAATATAGACAACACGTTCTACTTAATTAAATAGACTTTTAAATAAATGTTTTCTCCTACAACCAACATCAGAGTGCAGCGGCACATTAAATACGCACTACAATGACAATAGTTTAAAGCGATTTGAAGCATGTTTTATTTATTTGGGGGGAGGGGGGTGCAGAGCTTTGTGACGTCATATTTGAGGGGGGGGGGGTCTGACTTTTTGTGACGCCGTGTGACGAAGGTGGGGGGGGAGGGTCAAAAATCGTCCAAAATCGCGTGACGTCATTTATGGACGGCCCCTAAAGCCCACTGAGCTCTATGAACTTCTCTTTAAGAAGCGACCTGCCGGTCACAAATGATAGCTCAGCAAAGTGGTTGGCTTATCGCGTGGAAATTTATAGCAGCCTCCCCAAAAAACACAGCATAAATAATCTTACCGGTGCAAGAGATATTGCAAAAAAAGAGATATTGCATCTTCGCGAGTTTTTTCCCAAATACAAATTGTGCTCTGTCTACATTGACAGCTATGATGCATAAGTCAGGCAGTCTTCACTTTCTTATTTAAACTATCCTTGTCCAAACCCTATCACTTACCCCTGTCACTACCCCTATCACTTACCCCTGTCACTACCCCTAGCACTACCCCTATCACTACCCCTATCACTACCCCTATCACTACCCCTATCACTACCCCTATCACTACCCCTATGACTTACCCCTGTCACTACCCCTATCACTACCCCTGTCACTACCCTTAGCACTTACCCCTGTCACTACCCCTATCACTACCCCTATCACTACCCCTATCACTACCCGTATCACTATCCCTATCACTACCCCTATCACTACCCCCTATCACTACCCCTATGACTTACCCCTGTCACTACCCCTATCACTTACCCCTGTCACTACCCCTATCACTTACCCCTGTCACTACCCCTAGCACTACCCCTATCACTACCCCTATCACTACCCGTATCACTATCCCTATCACTACCCCTATCACTACCCCCTATCACTACCCCTATGACTTACCCCTGTCACTACCCCTATCACTTACCCCTGTCACTACCCCTATCACTTACCCCTGTCACTACCCCTAGCACTACCCCTATCACTACCCCTATCACTACCCCTATCACTTACCCCTATCACTACCCCCTATCACTATCCCTATCACTACCCCCTATCACTATTCCTATCACTACCCCCTATCACTACCCCTATCACTTACCCCTATCACTACCCCCTATCACTATCACTACCCCCTATCACTATCCCTATCACTACCCCCTATCACTACCCCTATCACTACCCCTATCACTACCCCCAACCCCTATCACTACCCCTACCACTACCCCTATCACTACCCCTATCACTACCCCTATCACTACCCCCAACCCCTATCACTACCCCTACAACTACCCCTATCACTACCCCTATCACTCCCCTATCACTACCCCTAGCACTACCTCTATCACTACCCCTAACCCCTATCACTACCCTTATCACTACCCCTATCACTACCCCTAAAACTATCCCCAACCCCTATCACTACCCCTATCACTACCCTATCACTACACCTATCACTACCCCTATCACTACCCCTATTACTACCCCCAACCCCTATCACTACCCCTATCACTACCCCTATCACTATCCTTATCACTACCCCTATCACTACCCCTATCACTACCCCTACCACTACCCCTATCACTACCCTTACACTACCCCTATCACTACCCCTATCACTACCCCATCACTACCACTATCACTATCCTTATCACTACCCCTATCACTACCCTTATCACTACCACCACTATCACTACCTCTATCACTACCCCTACACTACCCCGATCACTACCCCTATCACTTCCCCTGCTCGTTTGAGAGGGTTGAATGGAAATTCCTTCGCCTCGTGAAATCGCAGAGCAAAATTTGAATTACACTTTAATTGGTTGACATTGGGAGGTTACATATATGCCGTAATTGGGAGGGGAAATATATATAAAATAGTTAAAGTTTACGGTGCAAAAGTTATCCGAGAACAGAGTAAATGTCACTGTACATTAGCAACAGCCAACAATCCATCGTACGGGGTGCTTAAAAATAAATACATTTTCCCACTTACATGGCACGATCGTTTTTAATGGAAAAATAACGGATAATATTGCACTGTAACATGATGACAAACGTAATGTCAACAGCTTCAACAAGTCCAAGAGCCTCCCACTCGTTCGCCATCGTTGTCAACGCGTGGCCTGGGATCCTCTCCAGGTGATCTCCAGAGCCCGGAGGAGGCAGGCAGCACGCTTCTTGTGATTGTTGTTGCAAATTCTCAGAAAGTGTTAAAACATTTTATTTGAAGCACCCTGTAATTTCAAAGACAAACTGCTCTAGAATGTATCGTAATAAACCGCATGATTAAAAGTGCTGATTAATAAATAATAATAAAATAAGATTCGGAGCGTGTCGTTACAATAGCCGCTTGACGTTTCAAATTTCCGAAAACCGAAATTCTGGTCTCTAACCCCACATCCGCCAACCACCCACCACCACGCCACAGGAACGTGGAATTACCCCGTCCCCCCTTTGGTCGTGGGCTTTGTGAACGGATGTGAGAACCGCCTAAACTTCGTTTTTTGTACGAGCACGAAAAAAAATGGGGCATCGCTGACTTGAATCGCGCCAACGCGAGTTTGTCCCCCCTCCCTCCCTCCCTGCACGTTCATCCCTCAAGGTCATCTCTTCATCCAGTGACATGACCTCAGGAGCACAAATTGTGATTACATTGGCAAGTGGGGGGGGGGGGGGGGGGGGGGGTGGAACTGAACAATAAGTCTGGAGTAAAAAAACACACACACAAAATAAATAGAGTGCACAATGCCAGCAGTTAACAATATGATGGCAGAGGAACACTTTGCGAGCTGCAAAGCGGCGAAAGACGGAGAGTCAGAGCCGTGACAATCTGTCATCCTCGCAGCCAATGGCGGGAGCCAGGATTTTCAGGTAGTGGGGGGCAGGCAATCCCTCCAGCAATGAGAAATGATAGAGGAGTTGTTTAGTAAGTAAGGAGTTGTTTAGTAAGTAAGGACTTGTCCCTTGCCTTTTTACTCGACGCGTGTGCGGCGATGGTGCAGCCATCGATCGAGGGGTCGAATTCGAACCGCGTGGTGTGATCGCCATCGCGCTCGCTGAAGGTGAATGCCTTCAGGGAAATCGTGGACTGTATACGCAACTTCGCACAATTCTGTGAGTCGCTTAGGGTCCGTCCATAAATGACGTCACGCGATTTTTGACCCCCCCCCCTTCGTCACACGGCGTCCTAAAAAGTCAGACCCCCCCTCAAATATGACGTCACAAAGCTCTGCCCCCCCCCCCCCAAAATATAAAACATGCTTCAAATCGCTTTCAACTATTGTCATTGTAGAGCCTATTTAATGTGGCGCTGCACTCTGATGTTCTAGGAGAAAATATGTATTAAAAAGTCTATTTAATTAAGTAGAACGTATTCTTTGTTAAATTTCGAAAAAAAAGTATTCTTGGTTCTTTCGGTAAAGTCACGTAGAAGGGAAACAATAAAATAATAAAAATTTAAAACAATAAAATTCTTACGACGTTTCGACTGCAACACAAGCAATCATCATCAGGTGTGAAAACAACAGCAAGAATTTTTTTAAAAAGTGGCGGTTTTTTTTACGTTA